TGCTTTGAAAACGTTGGTTTAAAACTTCTTTAAATAAATTGAGATAAATTTAGCTGGAGAAGTTACTTCTGTGGAAGATTTCATTGGACTTGTTTTTGGCCAAAATCATTATTCCTTTTGCTGCATAGACTGATGGGGATTAAAGAAATTAGAACGGGCCCAGGGGATCTCTTTTTTTTTTTTTTTTTTAATGAGAGTAAGAAGCGATCTAACAGTGAAAATGATTAAACAAGCTAAAAGTTCTTTCTCTTCTGGAAACAGTCTACACCATCATTATGATTTCCAAATGTTCTTCAAATCAATTGATTCCATTTCACTATTTCTTGACCGCAAAAATGAGTTTGATTATGATTGAGTTAAATCTAGCCAAAGCTTAATTTATCAACAGCGAAGCAATAAAAAGACATAAAGTAGTAAAAATACTTACAGAGGAAGAAAGAAACTTTTCTTAATATTATTGCGCAAGCCAAAACAGAGATCACCCAATCTGATAGATCAATATCCACAATTGATCGTGAGTCGATAATGGCCGTCGTAAATAAAATCTAAATTACACGTCTAGTTTTAGCTGCGAGCACGACTATATTACACTCACACCAAAAGTAGGAATAGTTGCCAGGTTTACACACCTTTACAAGAGAGAAAGGCTAATTTGCTTAATTCTAAATTTTCTCGATGCTTTGCGACTACACACAAGAAGCTATTTAATACAAAGAAAGGAATATTCTGACGTCAGGGCGTGCTGCAGAAAGGAGACAGGATCATAATAAGCGCACTAAATTTCGGAGTGCGAAGAGGACAGTCTTGATGTATAAGATCTGTTGCCAGGTGTCTTTCTTTATGTAAAAGTCATATGGGTCGGCTGTCAATAAACATGCATCAATCCTTTTCATTCACGCGGATATTAGAGGAATCAGTAGATCTTTAGCTATTCGTCTCTTTTAGGCGATCATGCCTAGCTGAGGATTCAGCTTTCTCTTTTCCTTTTACAACAGGTTCATCTTCATCTAAAATTTGAAATAAGTTTCTCTGATTTCTTCTTTAGGAACCGTGGTTTAAAACTTCTTTAAATAATTGAGATAATTTTAGCGGAGAAGTTAGCTTCTGTGAAGATTCATTGGACTGTTTTTGCAAAATCTATTATTCCTTTTGCGGCATAGACTGATGGGGATTAAAGAAATTAGAACGGCCCAGTGTATCTCCTTTTTTTTTTTTTTTTTGTTATGAGAGTAAGAAAAAGCGATTCTAAACAGTTGAATAATATGATTTAAACCAAAGCTAAAGTTCCTTTCTTCTAAACAGTTACACCATTCATATGAGCTTCCAAATGTTCTTCAAAACAAAATTAGTTCCAGTTTCTACAGTTCTTGACGCCAAGAATGTATTGATTGATGATTAGTTAAATCTAGCAAAGCTGAACCTTATCCAACAGCGAAGGAATAAAAGACCTAGAAGTATAAAATACTTACAGAGGAAGAAAGAAACTTTTCTTTAATATTATTGCAAGCCAAAACAGAAGTCACCCAACTATAATCAATATCCACTAATTTGATCGTGGAGTCGATAATGGCGTCGTAAATAAAAAATCTAAATTACACTCTAGTTTTCTACTGGCGAGCCACACATAACACTCACACAAAGTAGGAATAAGTTTGCCAGGTTAAACACCCACCTTTTACAAAAAGAAGGCTAGATGCTTTAAGTCTAAATTTCTCATGCTTTCTACTACACACAAGAGCATTTATAAACCAAAGAAAAGGAATATCTGACTTCAGGCAGTATCGTCAGAAAGGTAGACAGATATAATAAGGCGCACTAATATTCGAGTGCGAAGATACAGCTTGATTGTTAAATAAGATTCTTTGTGCCAGCGTGTCTTCTTTATGAAATATATGTCCTGGCTGTCAATAAACATGCATCAATTCTTTATCACTGGCGTAGAATGATTAGAGGAATCAGTAAGAGTCTTTAAGCTATTTCTTTGTCTTGTTAGGCGGATCATGCCTTAGCTTTAGATTCAGGCTGTCTCTTTTCCTTTGACAACAGTTCAATCTTCATCTAAAATTTTGAATTAATTGTTTCCTATGTCTTCTTTTAGGAACGTGGTTAAAACTTCTTTTAAAAATTGAGACTAAATTAGCGGAGAAGTTACTTCTTGTGGAAGATTTGCATGGACATTTGGTTGTTTGGCAAATCTATTATTCCTTTGCTGCATAGACGGATGTGATGTAAAGAAATTAGAACGCCCAGGTGATCTCTTTTTTTTTTTTTTTTTTTTTTTTTTTTTGTATATATATAAGAAGCGATCTAACAGTTGAAATAATTGATTAAACAAAGCTAAAGTTC